TGAATGTAAAACTCAATGACCTAAGAAAAATATTCTTTGAAAATGCAGAAAATGGAAGACGTGTTCCAACGAGACAAGGGGGAGACATTAAAAAACAAGCTGAAATAACGGCACAACTGCACCTCAAGAAAAACTAAAGAGAGTTTTCAGGTTAAGGGACATCAGTTCACGTGAAGACAAATAACTCCAAGAATCAAGATCAGCAGGAGACAAAATGTAAGTAAATATAAATGTATGTTGACTGTGTAAAACAACCCTGTATAGTTTCACAACTTTTATGTAAGCCTAAACTTTTTCAAAATAAAATACTTTTAAAACACATTGAACTGATTGCCCAAAGCTGGAGATGATGTAAGCCGCTGCAAGAGAGCTCCCAGTCCGCCCCCACAAGACCAGACATTATGGGAACCCCAGCAAGTGCTGCTCACGGTCGACATCCCAGGCAAGACGACAGACGCCCTAGCCGAGGACCACCAGTTCCATCCCAGGACTAGAGACAACGGGACCTCAGATATCAACTGTCATTACCCAAACACAAATGACGGGGTCTGAGCAAGCAAGCCCCCCCCCAGTCCCCTCAAAACTAGGAACGAGAGGAACTCCAAGTACCCCCTTCAGTAGCTTTAATTCTAGAAGCGACGGCAGCCCCAGCAGTGACTCCTTCAGCTGCTCAACACTAGGCCGTGGGGAGTCCCAGTCCACTGACCGCCCCCCCCCCATTCTCGACCAACAGTACAGGCAAGGGGAGACCCAGAAAGTGACTCTTCTTGTTCTACCCCCAAACTGGATAAGAATGACCTATGTAAAAAGACTCCCCTAGTCCCCATCACTAGAGATACATGGAATCCCATACAAATATCCCCCTGATCCTCTCCTCACATTAGAGACCATGGAACCTCTTCATGGCCCCTCCCTGTCGCACCAACGCTTGAAAAATGGGATCCCCAGGCAGGCAGTGACCTCACAGTCCCCTGACACCAGAGACAATAGGAGCCCCAGCCTCATACTTCCCAGTTACCTCCAGCATCATGAGGGTTTCATCTGATGATACAAGTCTCAACAAGTGATTCCCCCATATCCCTCCGAGATTCGTGATGATGGAAATCCCAAAAAGCAACTTGTAATCCCCACACACAAAAGCAGACAGGAGCCCCAGCAAATGCCCCACCATTCTCACTCAGCAAGAGTCACAGCTTGCCTCCCTTGACTCCCCCAGACCAGGTAGACGAATATCCCCAGCAAAGAGCAACCCGTCTCCCCCAAGGAAAGCAATACCAGTTTCAACAGGCAAGACTCCAGGTTCTCCAACATAGGTGTCAGGCAGTCCCAGAAAACTGCATCTATTCCCATGGTCACAAAATAAAGTTGATGGAAGGGTCAGCAAGCAGCACCCTCA